AAAAAAAATGAGCAATGAGGTTGATTTTACAAATCTAAAAAGGTGGTCTGAAGTGGGGACAACTATATACATATAGAAATACAGTTAATGATTATTGGTTAAGTCACTGTTAATTCACTAATTATAAATATAAATATCTATTWAATGAGTATTTATGAATTTTAATACTACATGAAATTTAGCGATTAAAAATAAAAACTATTACTAATTATATAATTCTTAGTTCTCTTAGTTCATTAAAATTACATTCAGTTATATAATGTAACTAATTAAATTTTCTCATTAGAAAATTCACAATTTCTACCAAATGTATCATTTCGACAGTCTGGTTTTTTTAAAATAATATATCACTTAGGTATATAAAATTGTAAAATATCAAAAGATCTGTACTTTAATTTTCTTTTTCAATTGTTGTTGTGGATAATATACAGATAAGCCATCTCATAGTTTTTGATGCCTAAAATTATGCTGCCTGTTGTAGTTAACCCCTAGGTTTGCAGTATCTGTTTACATTGCGTTTAATGCAAACAGATTCACAAAAAATTTCTATGCAATGCTTATCTGAATGTTAAAAATGAATGCTTTAAACGTATAGAAAAAATGAATGATACACACTCATTTAAAAMTATTATACTGCTTTATTATTTGATTTACACTCAAATTTATAATAATTGTAATGTTCTTTTTAGCACCTGATATTTGCAGATAAATTTAAAATGCTACTTGTAAATTGAAAAATTAAATTAATTTACAATGTATTTAGAAGATCTTTAAAGGCACTTAATAAACATTTGTCATTTAAGTTCTTTTTGACTGATGAATTGACGAAAAAAGTTGTTATGAAACAATACGAAAGTATTATGCCAAGTACATATTCAATTTACATAACATAATATATGAAGAATATAATATAATACTATATTTCTAAATCATCATCTGGATCTTCTTCATCCCAGTCATCTGCTTCATCAGGAACATAATGAATCATTCCACCAGTACTGGATGGGTTTTGTACTCTAAAAAAAATAATAAATAATTCAAATGCAATATTAATTTTAGGTTCATAAGCTTTTAACATACAGAGTATATGGTAAAATTAATTCTTCCTTAGCTTTTTTTTCACTATCCTGTAAATCTAATTTAAAACTGGCCAAATTTGTTGGAATAATTTTATCATCTTCAATTTTTTGTGGTGGTAAGTCATTTATTAGTTGAAATGTAAAATCAGATTTTAATTCACCTTTTAATTTCTAAACAAAATAAAATAAGATAATTATAGACATAAAAATAAATAGCTATACRTTTTATAATTACTTGAACTACACATTTCCCATTTGACCTTTTATGTTCTAATCTTAAGTTTAAAATGAATGGATTGTTAGCAGTCTGTACGTGTATATGAGTCTTACATATATTTTTCAAGTGTTCAATTTGATTAATTTCTGTTACGTCTTTGTGTATCACTACCACAAATTGAACAATGCTAGAAACTAAAATCATATTATAGCAAAAATCAGATATTGTTTATGGACCAGTTACCAAGTCATATATCATAATACTTATGAGTAACTACAAATAATAAAAGAAAATTACACTTATCAGATGATGTAATATCCAATAATTCTTTATACACTTTTCTGAATTCAGTGTAAAGTAAATACATAGACAATGAATCAATTAAAATGACTATTTTTTTGGTTGATTTTTCAACTATACGTGAAATTGTTTCGTACAAACTTAAATTTAAAGACATGATGTTATACATACAATCATGGTATTGAATATTGGACAAAGAGGGAAATAAAGTTTGATATTTAGATACTACATTTTCATAACAAATTACATGGATGTCATAGGATTTTCGATTCACAGATATAAGATGTAATAGAAACTGTCCTTTGGCTAAAAATGAATCTGCAAAAAMAAAATTCAAAAACCATTAATAACATAATATTAATTTTTACATTATGTTTTCATTTTTACAATGTTTTTTAAATATATTGTAAAGGTATAATCATACACAAAATATAATAACATTAGTAACATGTGAAATATTCATTAATCAGTAATTTCATGATGAATTAAAAGATAATTTAGTCAAAAGTAAAGATATATTTTTAACCTSTTATAAATCCATACCAATATTTAATGTATATAATGCAAATTAGCTTCTATAATAAAAATACATAATTATTATTTATTAATAAATAATTCGCAGTATAAAATTATATGGTACATTTTTATGATAAATTAAAAATTTTAAACAATTATAATATAAATTAAAATATGATTTACAAGTTTTTAGATTTACTACTTACTTGTTTAACAAAGATTTACTTTATTTTTAAAATACAAATTTGACATTTGACATTGTACAATTATCGTCGGTTACATATTTGCAATATAATAATTATTTATTTTGATTTTCAGACAATATAACGTAAGAACTTTCAATAAAAACTAAAACCTACCCAGTGACATTATTTGCAGTGGCGTAGCAAGGGTATGACCAACTGTGCCTACGCCAGGGGCGCAAATTATGAAGGGGCGCAAATAGATCAACTATTGGACAAGAGAGACTCACAAGCATGGCACTTTTATCCATAGAACATGAATTTTTTAGACAAATTTCATATGACGAAATCATCGATGAATTCTCTAGCCTTAAAGCAAGAAAAGAAAATTTTTTAAGTTCAAAATTACATTGTAATAATAACTGATAATTATATAATATTGTATTGCCTAATTATATAATATATAAAAAATAAAAAAATATATCATTTCGTATTTTTGTCAATTTTTTAATCGCTTAAAAGGCGCATTTTTCTAGGTTGGCCAGGGGCGCTAACAAGTCTTTCTACGCCACTGATTATTTGACTACACAATGTTTACATTTCAATATTTAAAATTTAATATAATTATGATTTAGCTCATTCCTTAAAATAACTGAACTGTAAAATAGATAAATTCTAGATAGGGTTTATGGCTTTAAACAATTTTCATATTCAAAATAAAAATTGAAATTACATCACTGGGACTACCTAAATAAATATCTAAATGTTCAAATGTATTAGAATTTGACTGTTCACTAAAAAAATAGAAGGTACTAATTATCATTGATCTTCAGGTACAATGTAAATAGAAATATGTATATTGTAGATTATAGTTCACAAAATCAATTATATAAAAATATTTGAATAAGTTTTATTAATGATATTATGATGAAGTATCACATATTAATATATAAGCTAGTTAGGTTACATTTGAATACATTAATGGTTGATGTWGTCTCACCTTCAATTATTATTAATCGACTAGCTTGTGTACCTCTTACAACACTATCGTAAACGTTCATTGTGTATGAATCAAATACAAAACAATTTATTTCGATTTCTACAAGTCAATTGAAATTATTAATTGCCGAAATGCTTCATTCTATATATTCTAGTATTTGAAATAAATGATTCTATCAATAATCAAATAAAATTTTTAGCGCACTAGAGTCTGGCACATCATCTTTAAAATAAGGAATTTTTTTGTAATATTTTTTTTAAAATAATTTTGTTATGAACTCATGTCTTGGCAAATGAAAACGATAATTCGCGTGCTAGTGCGAGTGCGACAGTGCGACGAGCATTCAAACCTGATAATATTATCATACTTAGAAGACTGTGATTAGAGAAAACCTAACCTAACCGCACTATTGCACCAAGGTAGAACTGGTACAGTTTACTGATAATCGTCCCAACACGGGCTGGTGCAAATGTAGATGAAACATAAAATTACTACATATTTATTACATAAAATTATTACTGATATATAAAGATAATAAAATATTTAATGGGTATTGCAGTACTTATCATGATAATGATAATGCGCACGAGCTCCAAGAGCTCGTGCGATTATCTTTGCACCGAGTGCAAAAAACTGACGTAGTGCATTTAGGTGAAACATAAAAAAGTCYACTCGGTGCACATTAATCTTGCAGATGGAACATAAAAATATGTACTGGTGCAGTCAGTGCAGTGTGGTGGAAGACGCTATAATGTTTGTGGGCTTGTGGCTTCCACAACTAGGGTTGCGCAAAAACGAGAAACGACAATGGTTCGATATATCTATATATCGATCATCGATGAATGAAATATCGATGTAAACTTTTTTATAGGTATCAAAATATCGAAATATCGATATATCGATATAATTTTATATATTAATATTAATAGGTCATATAAATAAATAACAAATAAATATTTTAATATATAATTAATAATTATGGGTACATTGAATAATAATAAAATTTACAACTTGTAAGGTAAAAGATTTAGAAAATTAGAAATTCAGAACCAATACTTATCATTGTAAAAACACTAGTTTTGACAATCTTGAGCCTAATATTCTATTTCTACATTTAGTCAAAATGTTACCAGTCTTACTAAACAATCTTTCTGATGGTACTGATGAACTGATGTGGCTGATATAAAAAGATATTGTCCGGCTAGTTTATATAGATTTGGAAAAGCTCCTTTGATATTTTCCCATTCAATAATCGGATCTTCTTTGAGCCCAATAATCGATTTATCCAAATAAGAATGTATCTCATCTCTCGCACGRGATTTAGATTTGATATATTTAGAACTATATGTAAATATGTTCAATGCTAAGTAATAAGTAATAAATTAATAACCGACTCTTGAGTTCTTGACGACAAACGACAGGTCGACAGAGCCACAGAGCAAATAATATTTAATACCTTTCTTCATAGGTAGTCTATGCAGACTGCAGAGTTACGACTTTACTAGTGCTTAATGCTTATCACTATTTCACGCTATTTTGTCATGACCCAAACATTTTGGTCAGTGCCGTAACTWGGCATTGGCAAGGTGGGCGGTGGCCAAGGGCGCAGTTTAAAATGATCGCGATAGGGGCGCAATTTTTATTTCATATGAATACTAAAAATTCATTATTAATTTATAACATTGGTTGCCAAGGGCGCACATAAAGCTAGTTACGGCACTGATTTTGGTCCCGTGACGACTGACGATATAACGTCGTTTACCAGACCCCCAAATGTTCTATGATACCACAGAACAATTATATATAGTTTTAGAGATTATATATATATTATATATATTATATTATAACCAGAGATTATAATTTTATATAATCTGTGATTGTGATATTCTAACGATGGAAAATGCGACGAATGCTTACCGTATTCCGCATTCTATCTTATTCTGTGATACGAACCTAACCTATAAAACTTGTGTTATGTACACAATAATAATAATAATATTTCAAAACCAGTGATAGTGGTTTTTGGTGATGTGTTCCTGTCCGCGTTTACTATATATTACACTAATAGTTATTACCATAAAATAATAATAAATTCACTCATTCCTGTAAAGTGAACTGTGAAACGAATCACGTCGGCRGTGATCGTTCGAAACGGATTTTATCCATCGATACCATTCTGAACCAGTGGCAACTGCTACTTACTACTTAGTACTTACATATTGCTTTAGATTTAGACGTCCGTTACGCGTATACGCTTATACATGACATTGGCGATACTCTGCCGTTGCGTTCAACCGTCACCTCCGGACACTGGCCAGGACGATAAATAGCTGTTATGATAGTGTTGTTCGTGCGCAGGTAGACCAGGAAACTTTTTGCTCTCTTTCTCTCTTCAACAACTCGTACCGCCATCATGTTTCGCAGTAAGTTCCGTCTGCATACTTGCAAGATAATCATTGCCACGTCGCTGTTATGGATCTTCATTGACATCATGATACTCATGTATTACACCGATTGCGTTGGTCCCAACTGCAAGGCGAAGAACAGCTTTGTTGCAAATTCCGATAGCGGTGTCAATGATCAGTTTGACGCCGCCTCCGCAGCACCGCGTATGGGATGGGGATCTGTGCAGGAAAATATGCTTAACCGTTTCAAGCATGGTGATGACCGCAGCGATGATTCCACTTATCCTAGTCACTTGTTGATGCGCTGGAAGCCAATGCCTCCTGTACGTGAAAAGCGTGGTAAACACGGCGAAGGAGGACGTGGTGTCACTATGAAACCTGAACAAGAAGCCATTATGAAACAAAAATTCAAAGAGAACCAGTTTAACATAATAGCCAGCGATATGATCTCACTGAATCGATCTTTACAGGACATAAGACAAGGAGAATGTAAAAGCAAACAATATCCTACGTTGATGCCTACCACTTCAATAGTAATTGTCTTCCATAATGAAGCGTGGTCCACTCTTTTGAGAACTGTGTGGAGTGTCATCAACCGATCACCTCGATCCCTATTGAAAGAGATTTTGTTGGTCGATGATGCTAGTGAAAGAGGTGAATTCAGTTGTCCAAATGTACGCTTGATTATATGACTAGTATCTATATATTTGATTTTTTTTAATTTCAGATTTTTTGGGGAAAAAATTGGAAGATTATGTTGCCACTCTTCCTGTAGAAACTAAAGTGCTAAGAACAGAAAAACGTTCTGGTCTTATAAGAGCTCGATTACTTGGGGCTAAACATGTTACAGGCCAAGTGATAACATTTTTGGATGCGCATTGTGAATGTGCTGATGGTTGGCTTGAACCACTTTTAGCTAGAATTGTACTTAATCGGTATGGTTAACTACCTACTTATATATGTTTCTTATATTTCATTTAAATTTAAATGAAATATTTTTGTTACTAGGAAAACTGTTGTGTGTCCAGTTATTGATGTTATATCAGATGACACATTTGAATACGTCACCGCCTCTGATATGACATGGGGCGGATTCAATTGGAAGCTGAATTTTAGGTGGTATGTATTTAAATAAATTTAGTTGGTTATTTGTTCAATTTTATATTTTTAATGTTTATTTTAGGTACAGAGTTCCTCAAAGAGAAATGACTCGACGAAACCAAGATCGTACAGCGCCATTAAGAACTCCCACAATGGCTGGTGGACTATTTTCTATAGACAAAGATTATTTTTATGAATTAGGTTCATATGATGAAGGAATGGATATATGGGGTGGTGAGAATCTTGAAATGTCATTCAGAGTAAGTATTGTATACACAATCCTTAAGTGAAATAAATCATATATTTAAATTTAATTTCAATCTCGTAAAATGTCATTTAAATTATAAAGAATTTCCATACAGATATTTGAATTTTGAATTAGGTTTAATACAGAAATTAAATGTTCTATTAAAGAAATTTAGTTGTGGGGGAAAAGTAGTTGATATGGATATTTCTAGGTGTGGCAATGTGGCGGCACACTGGAAATAATACCATGTTCACACGTAGGTCACGTATTTCGTGACAAGTCGCCATACTCATTTCCGGGAGGCGTATCAAAAATCGTATTGCACAATGCAGCCCGTGTAGCTGAAGTTTGGATGGACGAATGGCGAGATTTCTATTATGCAATGAATCCAGGTATAGGATGATATATGTGGCCTGTGAAAATTCGTTTGCTTTTCTAAAATTTACTAACATAAGACAACTATCTAACCTAATTATTGTTGCTTGCTGGTTTAAATATAATTCCCATATCATAATATTTAAGTTTAAAAATACTTCWATGTTTAATACAAAATATAAAAATTATAAGAATTAAGGTTTACACAGTCCTCCGTGCATTCTGTATAAACTCGTGCAGTTCTCATTTGTACTTGTTGATTATTGTGTGTTACAATTGATACAGAGGGGTAGGAAATGGACATAATGTGTGTGTGTGTGTTTGTGTGTCTAAATACAWACATCTTTATTCATAAATGACATGAATCAAGAGTTTTCTTTCAATATTATCTTTATTGAAATGATTACTCATAGATTTGGATGTGTGGCGGCACATTGGAAATATCGCCATGTTCACATGTTGGTCATGTTTTTCGCAAATCCACACCTTACACTTTTCCTGGTGGCACATCACATATAGTCAACCACAACAATGCCCGCCTTGCCGAGGTCTGGATGGATGAGTGGAAACATTTTTACTACGCCATAAACCCAGGTACCCCTTCTTCTCCTATGTGATTGAAAACATTTCAAGCACACAGACACCTACACGTTTTATTGTGATAATGTGATATTTTTCTCTACACCCTTAGCACACCACTTAGTCATGAATGTTTTTATTTTTTATTTTTCATAACTTCAAACACATTTGTTTTTGATTAGTTTTGAATCTCTATTTTTTACATATTCTTCATTTAATGTTTATTTAAATAATAGATATCCCACCAATAATTTGTTTATGAACATAAAAATTATTATGCATGTTTAAAACTATTGGCATGTTTTTCTCTTTTCAGCTGTTTTTATAGTTAACTCACTAGTTTCATAGTTTAACAGTAGATTATAATTTATATGATAAATTARGTAAATAGACAACTGATTCCTGCATTAAAACGTAGTATATGGTGGACAATTTACCCTAAACATAATTTTATCAATGATAGTTGGTCTTTAGTCCAATTTTTTTTTTTTTGTAATACCTTTTTTGAAATTTTGAAATTTTTTACAGCATAATACATAYATTTAACAAATGTAAATTAGGATATCACTTATTGTTGTTGCTTAAGAAAATAGTGTATCCACAGTTTAAGAGTATTTACAAACAATATGAATTAGGTATTAGGAATATTAGGATAYAAATTTTGATCAGTTATAAATTTTAACAGACTAACTGTTTTAAAATATACCACAATCTACATTATACAATAGCTTTTCTCTTCATATTTTACTATCTCAATCAATATTTCCCTTGATAATGTCTTTTGTTGTCAATTATTTCAATTATTTAACCTGTTAGTAGTCTGTTACTATGCCTTATAGTTTGCTATATTTTAATACCAGCTACAAAAAATAAAATTGGTGTATAATAAATAAAATTAAATGGAAACTAATAATTGACCTGGTATTAAATTTTGATGGAATTAATTGTCTACATACGTAATATTTTTGAGAGAACAGATTTTCATAAATCTAGTTAAATAAATTATATTAGATAAAACTAATTTGCATGTTATATACTTACTTTTTAAACTCATGGCCTTATGGATTGTAGTTTAATTTACTTGCATGATATCTATTAATCACATTGTTTATCAAGAATATTCTGTAGTCAAACAATTATTGTTATCTGCATTTGTTTATAATTTTAATTATTTATTACCTAAAAATAATAGTTAATTAATTAAAATTGTGTATTAAATTTTTTATACATATAATTAGGTGCATCTAATGTTGAAGTTGGAGATGTTTCTGAACGTTTAGCTTTGAGAGAAAAGTTAAAATGCAAGTCTTTCCGTTGGTACTTGGAAAACATTTACCCTGAGTCTCAAATGCCACTTGATTAYTATTATCTTGGAGAAGTCAGTAAAATTAAATTACATTAGAYCACTGTTTAATAATTAATTTAATTTGTTTAGATAAAAAACGTAGACTCTCAACATTGCCTTGACACCATGTCACGAAAAAGTGGTGAAAAAGTTGGCATGAGTTATTGTCATGGTCTTGGTGGCAATCAAGTAAACCAATAAGTTTGTTTATGTATTAAATTTTATGTATTAATCTTATTAAATGTTTACAGGTTTTTGCATATACTAAACGGTCACAAATTATGTCCGATGATAATTGTTTAGATGCTTCCAATATTGTTGGACCAGTTAGTTTAATTAGATGCCATGGTCTGGAGGGTAATCAAGCATGGGTTTATGATTCAAAGGTAAATTAAATTTAAACAATTTTTTTAAATACTGATTATTGATATCTAATAAAATAACATGAATATAATATTATTTGGCTAATAAATACATTTTTTTCAGGAAATGACAATAAAACATAAAACTACAGATCAATGTCTAGAACATTCAATGTCTGCTGATCAGTATGCTGCCATATTAAATGAATGTGATGGTTCACGTAGCCAACAATGGACAATGAAGAGTAACTTTCACTGGCAAGCTAGCTCAAGATAACGTAATCTAATTTTTACTTTTTATTTTAATCAAGTGTTATTCGTTTATGCATACATATATACATTTTGGGGATCAAAATATTTACTTTTAAGTTCTTATGAACAAAAAAATCTTCTTATATAATAAAATAAAAATCTTTTATACTTTTGAACAAATTAGATATAACTTATGAAGTCCATGACAGTTTAAAAACACTTATAATAGAATTATAAAAATCTACTTGGTGACTATTTATCCCTGCCCACAATATTATTATCTTAATGAAACCACTTATATTTTTAACAAGATAAAAAGATTCAGTGAAAACACTTGTGATATTTATATATTATGTTATTAGTTATAATTATTATTATATTATATTTTGTAT